ATCTGGACAATAGCTGTACTGAATACTCGTAATATTCGGAAAATATGTCAGTGTGAGGAAGAGGTGCTGTTTACCTATAATCGGGCAAGAGGATGCCAATATCACGAAATATTGCCCAGGCTCGAAATAAACATCCGCAGAAAATTTGAGTTCCGTGGTAGCTGTGTAGGGTATCATATGGTCGGCCTCGTCCGACTATACTGCTCCACTCACTGGTTGATAAGTAGATTTGTTACCATATACGACTACAAAATATCAAATTGCAGCGAGTTCGGTTGAAAAACGCGCTCAAGAACCCCAAAATACCGAATATTGGGGGTACCCTTATATGGGGGCTACCCGAAAAAATTCACCTATATGTATAATTTTTTGTGGAGAGATTTGGTACCCATTAAGAACTCAAAGTACTAAATTACAGCCAATTCGGTGGAAAAATACGACCAAAACCCCCAAAATACTGAAAATTAGGAGGTACCGTTATATGGGGGCTACCAGAAAAAGTGGACCTATATTTATAATTTTTTGTAGAGACATTTAGTACCCAATAATAACACAATGTACCAAATTTCAGCGAATTCGGTTGAAAAACGCGCTCAAGAACCCCAAAATTCCGAAAATTGGGGGGTACCCTTATATGGGAGCTATGCCTAAACGTGGACCGATATATCACATCTTCGAACTTGACCTGCCTGCAGACAAATGACAACCCTATGCAAAATTTCAGCACCCTATCTCAATTCCTTCGGAATATAGCGTGATTACAACAGACGGACGGACGGACATGGCTAGATCATCTTAGAATTTTACCCTGATCAAGAATATATATAATTTATAGGGTCGGAAATGAATATTTCGATGTGTTACAAACGGAATGACAAAATTAATATACCCTCCATACTATGGTGGAGGGTATAATGATGGATTTAATGTTTTAAAAATATTTTTTTTTGTCTACACCTAAATATAGGCGTTGTTTTTTTTAGATATAGCTCCCATATATATTTTCGTCCGATTTTATGTAAATAGTGCACCAAAGTCCCTATATATTTTGCGATTTGCACGAAATTTCGCACAGCGTACTGAATTAAGTCTAGAGTGATGTGTGCAAAGTTTCGTGAAAATCGGTTCAGATTTAGATATAGGTCCCATATATATTTTCGTCCGATTTTATGTAAATGGTGCACTAAAGTCCCTATATATTTTCCGATTTGCACAAAATTTGTCATAGCGTACTGAATTAAGCCTAGAATGATGTGTATTACGTTTCGTGAAAATCGGTTCAGATTTAGATATAGCTCCCATATATAGTTTCGTCCGATTTGAGATAAATAGTACACCAAAGTCCCTATATATTCTTCGATTTGGCACAGCGTACTGACTTAAGCCTAGAATGATGTGTGTAAAATTTCGTGAAAATCGGTTCAGATTTAGATATAGCTCCCATATATATTTTCGTCCGATTTAAGGTAAACGGGGCACCAAAGTACCTATATATCCTTCGATTTGCATGAAATTTGGCATAGCGTACTGAATTGAGTCTAGAATGATGAGTGCAAAATTTCTTGAAAATCGTTTCAGATTTAGATATAGCTCCCATATATATTTCGTCCGATTTTAGGTAAATAGTGCACCAAAGTCCCTATATATTCTTCTATTTACACGAATTTTGGCACATCGTTCTAAATTAAGTCTAGAGTTATGTGTGCTAAGTTTCGTGAAAATCGCTTCAGATTTAGATATAACTCCCATATATATTTTAGGTAAATAGTGCACCAAAGTCCCTATATATTCTTCGATTTGCACGAAATTTGGCACAGCGTCCTGAATTAAGCCTACAATGATGTGTGTTAAGTTTCGTGAAAATCGGTTCAGATTTAAATATAGCTCCCATATATATTTTCGTCCGATTTTATGTAAATGGTACACCGAAGTCCGTATATATCATTCGATTTGCACGAAATTTGGCATAGCATACTAAATTACGCCTAGAATGATGTGTGTTAAATTTCGTGAAAATCGGTTCAGATTTAGATATAGCTCCCATATATATTTTCATACGATTTTATGTAAATGGTGCACCAAAAACCCTATATATTCTTCGATTTGCACGAAATTTGGCACAGCGTACTGAATTAAGCCTAAAATGATGTGTGCTAAGTTTCGTGAAAATCGTTTCAGTTTCGTGAAAATCATTTCGTCCGATTTAAGGTAAACGGGGCACCAAAGTCCCTACACATGCTTCGATTTGCACGAAATTTGCCACAGCGTACTTAATTGAGTCTAAAACAAGTGAAAAAGCGTTAAGTTCGGCCGGGCCGAACTTTGGATACCCTCCACCATAGATATACTGACAGGTACTAGAAATGAAAATAAAGGGAACATACCAAAAGTGGACCTATACCGACATGTCTAAAATCGGATTATGTAAACCATAGTACAAATTTCAGAAATTTTAATTGATAATTCGAATTCGAAACCTCCACAGAGGCTAGGTCTAAATGCGGCTATAGTTATTATCGAACCTTACGTTCTAATTTTTTACCTCGCTATCCTCCACAGGTGAAATGATTACAATAGAGTCTTAGAACCAAACTCAAAACGCGGAACATATCAGATAACTATTTTAATATAAACCAGTAAGGAAAGTAGTAAAGTCGGACGGGGCCACTTTGGGTATATTCAACAGATGAATCCTAACAGACGTCACATTTTTAATGGACCAGTAAAATGAAATTGGATCCATAAACATGTCATTCTGCAACCTATACTAAATATAAGCTATATCTAAATCTCAACCGATTTCAACGATTTCACGAAACATATACCACCTAATTCATAACGCTGTGCCAAGTTTCGTGCAAACCGAAAGATATATAGGGACTTTAGTGGACCATTTACATAAAATCGGACGAAACTATATATAGAGCTATATTTAAATCTGAACCGATTTACTCGAAACTTAACACACGACATTCAAGACTCAATTCAGTACACTATGCAAATTCTCGTGTAAATCAAAAGATATATAAAGACTTCGGTGCACCATTTACATAAAATCGGACGAAACTATATATAAGAGCTATATCTTAATCTGAACCGATTTTCACGAAATTAAGCACACATCATTCTAGGCTTAATTCAGTACGTTGTGCCAAATTTCGTGCAAATCGAAAGATAAATAGGGACTTTGGTGCACTATTTACCTTAAATCGGAAGAAAATATATATGTGAGCTATATCTAACTCTGAACCGATTTTCACGAAACTTAGCACACATCATTCAAGGCTTTATTCAGTACGCTGTGCCAAATTTCGTGCAAATCGAAAGATATTTAGGGACTTTGGAGCTCCATTTACCTTAAATCGGACGAAACTATATATGGGAGCTATATCTAAATCTAAACCGATTTTCACGAAACTTGGCAGACATCATTCTAGGCTTAATTCAGCACGTTGTGCCAAATTTCGTGCAAATCGAAGGATATATAGGGACTTTGGTGTACTATTTACATGAAATCGGACGAAAATTTGAAAATTGAGAGGTACCGTTATATGGGGGCTACCAGAAAAAGTGGACCTATATTTATAATTTTTTGTGGAGACATTTAGGACCCAATAAGAACCCCATATACCAAATTTCAGCGAATTCGGCTGAAAACCGCGCTCAAGAACCCCAAAATACCGAAAATTAGGGGTACCCTTATATGGAGGCTACCCGAAAAAATGGACCTATATACATAATTTTTTGTAGAGAGATTTGGTACCTATTAAGAACTCAAAATACTAAATTACAGCCAATTCGGCGGAAAAATACGACCAAAACCCCAAAATACTGAAAATTAGGAGGTTCCGTTATATGGGGGCTACCAGAAAATATGGACCTATACTTATAATTTTTTGTGAAGACATTTAGGACCCAATAAGAACCCAATGTACCAAATTTCAGCGAATTCGGTTGAAAAACACGCTCAGGAACCTCAAAATACCGAAAATTGGGGGGTACCCTTATATGGGAGCTATGCCTAAACGTGGACCGATATATCCCATCTTCGAACTTGACCTGCCTGCAGACAAAAGACAACCCTATGCAAAATTTCAGCATTCTATCTCAATTCCTTCAGAAGATAGCGTGATTACAACAGACGGACGGACGGACGGACATGGCTAGATCGTCTTAGAATTTTACCCTGATCAAGAATATATATACTTTATAGGGTCGGAAATGGATATTTCAATGAGTTACAAACGGAATGACAAAATTAATATACCCTCCATACTATGGTGGAGGGTATAATGATGTGTGCTAAGTTTCGTGAAAATCACTTCAGATTTAGATATAGATCCCATGTATATCTTCGTCCGATTTAAGGTAAATGGGGCACGAAAGACCCTATATATTCTTCGATTTGCACGAAATTTGGCACAGCGTCCTGAATTAGGTTTAGATTGGTGTGTGTCAAATTTCATGGAAATCGGTTCAGATTTAGATATAGCTCCCATATATATTTGCGTCCGATTTTATATAAATGGTGTACCAAAGTCCGTATATATCACTCGATTTGCACGAAATTTGGCACAGCGTACTGAATTAAATCTCGAGAGGTGTGTGTGTTAAAATCGGTTCAGATTTCGATACATATCATTTTTGCTATAAAACGTTTTCCATAAATATGTCCCATGGTACGCAGACGTCTCTAAATCTGCCCGAATGAAATTAAATTTAGCATAGGTTGCAGAAAGACATGCGTATGTTCCTTCGAGGGATCATTGACATGCCAATGTAAGGATACATATGCACAATATACCGAAAGTGGTGAAGGTGGCCCAGTCCGACTTTACTACTTTCTGATTTAAAAAATATTTTTTCTAGGACTTTATAAAGCCTTGGGTTTATAAAATATTTTCACGGTGGATTTTAATTTTTTTTTATTTTTTCTTAATTTTTTTACAACAACAATTATTAAAAAAAAATAAATATTGAAACGTTTTTATTTTATCAGCTCACTTTCGGGGACGGATTTTCATTTCAACAAATTTCATGGAATAATTAAAACCCTTCCATGTGGCCCAGAGGATTTTTTGCATTTCCGTGGATTCACCACCCTGACGGTACACCGAATTCAAGTTACTAAATTTTGAAGGAGGAGGAGGTAAATAATTAATATAATCGATTATCATCGATCTCCATCTGCAAACTCACCTATCCACACACTGATTAAACCACCAACCACCACCATAATTCCGCGGACATAAACCCGAATTGGAATGATCCAATGTGGAGAATTTCATACCCTTATGATAGGCCATTGCATCACCGGCCGTACCACTATACTCACCCAGTTCCCTGAGGGCATACTCCTCGGCTTCACTGCCAATCACAAAATGATCATAACGGGCATAACGTTCTTCATTTTCCCAATCGCGTAGCGTAATCATTAACTCCTGTGGTCCTTCGTTCGTGGTCAGCTGATGCAGCCTTTCCAAGCCGATAAAGAATTCACCATCGGGTGATTGACCAAAACCATTACGATAATCATACCAATCACGTTGGAAATTTTCCGAACCATCCTGACGACGTAGAATTACCGTCCATTCGTGTCGGGGTGCTGAGGTGGCGGTGGGAGAAGGCGTCTTTGAATGTTTACGCATAACTTGTGCGGCGGGACATTTGTGGGCCGCCGTTTTGGTCAATTTTAATATATTCGATATTTCACCAGACTGATGGGATTGACTGGAAAAGAAGGTAGAAAGGATGAGGGTGGGAGGGGGTATGGTATATGGTACGAAGTACTGCTACATACCTATCTCTCATCTCCTGTATAAGCTGCCTTAGGGTATCAGTTTCATCGAGCAGTCGATTGAGTTTGGAATAGAGTATACGCCACAGTTCGGTATTATTATCTTCGGGAATGGGATCCTGTTTTAGCGAAAAAAATATTCGAAATTTAGATTACTCCGAAAGGTGTTTATTGTGTAGAGCAGGTTACTCATCTACTGGATAGTAGATGACTCTGAATGTCATCTACTGAATAGTAGGTTACTCCGAAATGTGACTACTGTATATTGAACAACTCCGAAAGTCATCTAATGTGCAGTAGGTGAATCCGAAAAGCATATACTCTATAATAGATGACTCCGGAAGTCATCGTTTGTCTAGGAGATTACTCCGAAAATCGTTTACCACATAAAATATCACTCCGAAAGTGGTGTATGGTATATATGACTCCGAATGTCAGTTACTGACATAATATATGACTCCGAAAGTCACTGTTGATATAGAGATTACTCCGAAAGTCATCTGAAAGTCATCGAACGTGCTGTATGGTATAATATATGACTCCGAATGTCAGTTACTGAATAGTAGATGACTCCGAAAATCATTGTTGATATAGAAGATTACTCCGAAAGTCATCTACCTTATAAAATTTGACTTCGAAAGTCCCGGATGGTATAATATATGACTCCGAATGTGAATTACTGAATAGTAGATTACACCGAAATGTAAGGAGATTACTCCTAAAATGGGGTATGGTATAATATATAACTCCGAATGTCAGTTATTGAATAGTAGATGACTCTGAAAGCCTTCGTTTATATAGAAGATTACTCTGAAAGTCATCCACCATATAAAATATAACTCCGAAAGTCCCGTGTGGTATAATATATGACTCCGAATGTCAGTTACTGAATAGTAGATGACTCCGAAAGTTGTCGTTTGTATAGAAGATTACACCGAAAGGTATCGTTTGTATAGGAGATTACTACGGAAGTGGTGTATGGTATAATATATGACTCCGAATGTCAGTTAGTGAATAGTAGATAAATCCGAAAGTCATCGCTTATAAAGAAGATTACTCCGAAAGTCATCCACCATATAAAATATGACTCCGAAAGTCCCGTGTGGTATAATATATGACTCCGAATATCAGTTACTGCATAGCCGGTGACTCCGAAAGTTGTAATTTCCTAGGAGATTACTCCGAAAGTCATCTACCAAAATAAATATGACTCCGAAAGTCATGTATGAATTGTAAATGACTCCGAAATTCATCGTTTGTATAATCGATTACTCCGAAAGACATTTTTTGTATAATAGATTACTTCTGTTGTGTAATAAACGACTCCGAAAGTCATCTTATGTGTAGCAGATAACTCCGAAAATCATATACTCTATAATATATGTGTCCGAAAGTGCAGCAAATAACTCCGAAAGTCATTTTTTTTTTTTGTGTAATAGATTACTCCGAAAGTCTTCTGCTGTATAATAGATTACTCCGAAAGTCATATGTTGTATAGAAAATGACTCCGAAAGTCTTCTACAACGAACTAAATGACTCCGAAACTCGTCTATAACGTACTAAATGACTCCGAATGTCTTCTACAACGTAGTAGATGACTCCGAAAGTCATCTGCTTTGTAGTAAACGACTCCGAAACGCATCTATTGTTTCATCTATTACATAGAAAATAATTCCGAAAGTCATAGTCATATGTTGTGTACTAGATTACTCCGAAAGTCACCTGTTGTGCAGTTGATTACTCCGAAAGTCACCTGTTGTGTAGTTGATTACTCCGAAAGTAATCTGTTGTGTAGTAAACGATTCAGAAAGTCTGCGTTTGCATAATAGACTAATCTGAAAGTAATTTGTTGTGTTGTAAATGACTCCGAAAGTCTTCTAAAACGTAGTAAATGACTCCGAATGTTATCTACTACATGTAAATGACTCCAAAAGTTATTTGTTGTGAAGTAAATGACTCCGAAAGCCTTTTACTACGTAGTATATGACTTCGAAAGTCATAGACTACATAGTAAATAACTCCGAAAGTCATCGTTTGTGTAATAGATAACTCCGAAATTCATATGTTGTGTAGTAAATGGCTCCGAACGTCTTCTACAATGTAGTAAATGACTCCGAAAGTTTTTTACAACGTCGTAAATTACTCCGAAAGTCACACACTACATAGTAAATGACTCCGAAAGCCCTCGTTTAGTAGTAGATTACTCCGAAAGTGATATATTGTGTAGTAAAAGACTCCGAAAGTCTTCTTTTACATAGTAGACTACTCCGAAAGTCATCTGTTTTGTAGTACATAACTCCGAATGTCTTCTACAATGTAGTAAATGACTCCGAAAGTTATCTACTACATAGTAAATGACTCCGAAAGTCATCTGTTATGTTATAAACGACTCCGAAAGTCATTTCTTGTGTAGTAAACGACTCCGAAAGTCATCTTCTGTGTAGTGAATGACTCCGAAAGTCATCTTTTGTGTAGTAAATAACTCCGAAAGTCTTCTACAACGTAGTAAATTACTCCGAAAGTCATCCACTACATATTAAATAACCCCGAAAGACTTCGTTTGCATAGCAGATTACTCCGAAAGTAATCTTTTTTTTGTAAATTACTCCGAATGCCATTTACTACATCGTACATGACTCCGAAAGTCATCTACTATGTAGTAAATAACTGCGAAAGTCATTTGTTGTGTAGTAAATGACTCCGAAAGTCTTATACTGTTTAATAGATTACACCGAAAGTCATCCATACTATTATACTATATAATAGATGACTCCGAAAACCTTCTACAACATAGTAAATGACTGCGAAAGTTATCTACTACATAGTAAATGACTCCGAAAGTCTTCGATTGCAGATTACTCCAAAAATCTTCTGCTGCATAGTAAATGACTCCGAAAAATCATCGACTACATTGTAAATGACTCCAAAGGATATAATCGGAATTTTTTGCCGGTTTTTTTTCAGAGCACCACAAAAAAATGTTATATTCTTCTAAACCTACCTGAGCCCTGACCAAATGCAGATGGAGCACAATTGCCCACATAAAAAATATCCAACTTAATTTCATTATTTAATTTTCTATATCGATGTTATACCATGCACTTGCAAAAACTAACTAAACTTTTATTTGCCGATGAAATACAATGTTATATACATTTTTGCAAGAACAAACAAAACAAAAAATTAAGACGAGAATAATCTAACAAAAAATTTAGCAAACAAAAAATAAACAAATAAATAAAAAAGCGACCGAGATAAAATATATGTTTGCAAACAGATTTAAACAATTCAGTGGTGGCGAAGAAATGCACTACACAAAAAAATTGCGAAATTTTGTGATTGTTAACTTTTTCGAATAAATGTAGGATATTTTTTTTCAAATAATTTTTTAATATGCTGGAAAAAATATTAAAATTTTTTTTTACATGTCAGTGCATTATCTATATAAGAAGTCACCACTCCCCCATACTGATATTAAAAGTCGTCTACCATAACTCACTTTTCTCTAATCTCTTATCATATCTAAGATGCATAAGGAGGAGGATTTATCTTTTTTGTGGTACTTATTTTGTATTTGATAAACATGTTTGTGTTTTTCTTTAATTTAAAAAATTGCATTGTTTGTTTGGAGAGGGATTAGAGAAAATGTTGGTCAACATTTAGTGACATTGTATTAGAAAGAACACCCCAGTATCTTCTAGCATTAAATTTTATTTGAAAACATATCCCTTCCTCCCCCAGCATATTTATATTTCAAATTAATTTTTTTTTTTATATTTTGTTCCATTTTTTTTTTTTTTTGTATTTCTTTTTTCAATTCACAGGAATACAAATTAATTCATTATTTTCATATTATAGAAAAGAAAGTTTGAAAAATAATAACTTATAAAAAATGTTGTATTTATAAAGTATGTATAAAAAAGGAATTGTACAAACTAAACAAAAATAAAAAAAAATGGGGGGAGGGCAGAAAAAGAGCAGCAGCAGTAGTCCAAGAAATGGAAATGGTAATAAAATTTTTTTGCAAGGAATTCAATTTACTGAGTGTTCCAACCCCTCCCCTTCCCCACTCAAGCTCCTGCTCTCCAATCTCACAAGTTTTTTTGTAAAGGAAAATTGTGTTAATTTATGTTTATATTTTTTTAATTGTATTTTTTATTAGTTTACTTCTTCTTCTTCTTTTAATAAGCTGTACTTCTTTGCTGTTGTTGTTTTTTCATATTTTTTTATTATTTAAGATAGAGTACTTAGATGCCTACAATGTGTGGTATTTTTTGTTTGTTTGTTGTTAATTACAATTAAAAGTAAAATTAAATTATGCTCAATATCCGGTTGTTGTTGGTTGGGCGCCACTGCTTTTTGTTTGTAGTTAATCTAGATAGATAGCTTTTTTAAACTCCTTTTGAAAATTAGAGTATTTAAATGGATGTTTAAGTGGGAATGGAGTTGAACAATTATTTTTTTTATTATTTTTAAAACAAAAAATTAAAAAAAGTAAATGGTATTAATATTTGCTGTAGTATTGGCACCAATACCACAGTCAACAGAATAATAATATATTTTTTTTAAAGAGCAGCAGGAAAGAGAGTGTGTTTTACAAAAAAAGGAGAAGGAGGTTTGTATGTGTGAAAGTGTGTGTTGTGTGGGTGTGTTTGTGTACTACTACTGATGCTTCTTTACAAGTCTTCATCCTCGTCGGGCAAAGCTGTTTCCTGGGCCTCTTGCAAATCTCTTTCGATTTGTAACTGCCAGTCCTTGTCCATTTTGACTTCGGGAGGCAACAGAGCGGGCATGGCAACGAATTCCAAATTGGGATCACCAACCAATTTGCGGGCCAACCACAAGAAGGGCTTTTCAAAGTTGTAATTTGATTTGGCTGAGATGTCGTAGTACTGAAAACCGAAAACAAAAACCCCAATTAAATATAAATCAAAATATGAAAAACAAAAATCCTTCCACTCACCTGCAAATTCTTCTTTCTGTGGAACACAATACTCTTGGCCTTGACCTTACGATCCTTGATGTCGACCTTGTTGCCGCACAATACAATGGGTATGTTCTCGCAGACACGTACCAAATCTCTGTGCCAATTTGGTACATTCTTGTAGGTGACACGCGATGTCACATCGAACATAATTACAGCACACTGTCCCTGAATATAATAGCCATCACGCAAGCCACCGAATTTCTCCTGACCGGCTGTATCCCAGACATTGAAACGAATGGCGCCACGATTTGTATGGAAAATCAATGGATGCACCTCGACACCCAAAGTGGCAACATATTTCTTTTCAAACTCGCCGGTCATGTGACGTTTGACGAAGGTTGTCTTGCCGGTACCACCATCA